GTCTCTCAAATTCGCTACCAACCTATAAATGAAGTAAATGGTATAAAATCTATAAAATAAATATAACCAGAGCAATAAAAATTAACACATAAAATTACCGTAGATTACGAGAAGTTTTGACATTCAAATTGATCTGAATACAGACTCTGACTTGGAGGGGCACGGCTAACATCTGAAAGTTATAATAATCATCATTGAAGTATTCATAAATTAGTGTTTAGTTAATGCCAGCTACGGGAGACTACTTTGTAAATAAGTAACACAATACACGTATTTAATGATAAAAAGTTGATGAATGCCTAAGATCTAGAAGTCAGAAATAGTTTTCAAGAAGAGAAAGTGAAACAAAGCTATACTGTAATTAATTTAGAAACTGGTGTAGGAAGTCTGCTATGTCTTCTAAGCATTGACATAGTCCACAGAGTTGAATGCGATGAAACGATTACATATTGCAACATAAAAGTATTATGGGGATTATAAAATATTATTAATTTATTTTTTCTATTAGCTTATATTTATACAAATTAAACATATGGATAAAAATCTTTTCGTATTGAATGTAAACTATACAGTAATTTATAATTTTACTCACCGTATTAATATGAAAATAAGACTGATGTTTATCAGCATCTGGTTTTAATCCTTTAATCATTTCGTGAAAAATTGGATCAGCGCCATAAAAGTGGGGTTTAGAATAAGTTATAGGTAATCCTTAAAAATAAATATTAATATTAATAGACAGTTATAGACAGAAAGTTAAGGTATATAAATTTAACTTTGAATATATAACATATTTTATATATATTTAACTGATGCTTTAATGATAAGAGCTTATTTTTAATCTATAATTTGGAAATTACAAGCCATTTATATATTTTATATTGATTTATTTATTTCAAAAAGAAACTTTCATTAAAAATGTCAAGGAAAAGAATGTAATGAGAACGAATTCAGCAAAAGTTTATAACTATTAAAAGAAATTAAAGCATTATGAATGACAGGGATATCATTCTTAATGTTAATTTCGTTGAAGGATTTAAGCAATAATTATATTAATTTACTTTTATTTTTAATCTCAATACAAAATATTAAAGTTTAAATAATCAAAATTGTTATAAATTTTTTATTCAGAACATAAATTTAATTAGAGAATAATTTGTTATAATTTAAAGCAAGTTTTTTTTCATTTTTGACACTTTCTTCCCTATGGACACAAATAGGGCCTTTTTCAGCCTTATCCATGGTGAGGATCTGGCTCCCATCATAGATATGGCCGGGCCTTATACTGCTGAGTCCACAATGTGACGACTGGGTGGTGAGGGATTGGCTCCGACATATCCGGGACAGACCGTCCATGAAAAATTCTTGGAATTGCTTTCCCGGATTAGATTCAAGATCCCCGAGAGCGGTAGGCTGACGCATTTGTCACCTTGGTCATCTTATTGTCAATTCAAAGTAATTATAAGCATTAAAATGAAATATAATACATACCAAACATGCATTTCCCTAAGGGGAGAGTTCCGTTATATCGGCAATATTCGTTATCCGGGCAGAAGCACTTGTTTGCTCTGATGTAGTGAGGGCTGATAAACATAGAATCCATATAGAATTTTTTGGTTGGAATGCCGTATATATCATCATTTCCCATATAATCCAATCTCATAGATCTGAAAACGAATAAAAAAAACACTTTTTTTTTATTTCCTCCAATTGTTACAACTTAAAGAATTTTCGGAGCCGTAAAATGGCGATAAAAATCCAACATTTTGTTTTACTTTTGAATTAATTACTACAAAAACAACAATTTTTATTGTAAAAATTTAATTATTTTACATTTTTCGATGTTTAATGTAAAATATTACCATCTTACGTCATAATATGTATCCCAAATTATTTTTTCTAAATAGTTTAGTAATTTGTTCCTACAGATTTGCCATTTTATTCTGAGAAGGAAAGCAAATTATGCAATTATCTTTCATTTTAGTGCAGACTTATTAAATAAATAAATAAATTTATAAAATTTTATATTAAAATAAAGGAAAATGCTAATTTAATAAGAGAAAGAAAGCGTAGAAAGAGCATGGACATGGACACGTGGATGCCTAGAATCATCTCCATTCTGCAAATGCTTAAAAGTATATGCTTGTAGCAAAAACACGACGGAAGATTTTAAAAACTTTAGAAAAATCTTATACCTGCAAAACGGTCCTAAAAAAAAGTATTGGATTTTCCTCCTGATGGGATATCGGAATGTTACACCCTCTAAAACAATAAACATATGTGATTATTTAAATAAATTTTGTTAAAGATTAAATTTTAAATAAATTATATCTGTTATTAATACGTTAAGTTAAACTTCAAATGATTGAAATTTGAATAAAATTCAATATTTATTAGTAATTTTTTGTTGACACAATGGTTCAAGTGGTGAAAGCATCATCAACTTGGAACTCTACAGTAATGGCCCGTATTCTCAACCAAGGATCAAAAGTATATTAGATGCTAACTAATTACCATTTACTTTACTTTTAGTACATGAATGCTTATTATTTAATTTATAACACTAACTCTGCACATCAGTGGCTGAGTGAATAAAATCACCGAAAACTGATCGTTGGTTATGGGTTTGTGCCTGATCGCAGGAAGTTTTCCGGTTCTTCTTCATGTGTCTAACACCTAAATAGGGGCGAGTTTTCCATAGAAATTTTCCTATCAGGCACCTCCCCTTGGCAAAATCAAAATCACTCCCGTGTTGTATTTCCTAAGACATCAATCTAATCAAATCCTAACCTATAACTCTTGAGCTTTGGCTGTGAATATGAATATGAGATCCAGATTCAATTCCGAATAGGAACCTCAATAATTTCCACTTGTTTTTGATCCGGACATGATTGGCCTCTCCTTATAAGCTGGCCTTACCGAATTCACGGTAGGCATTGAAGAAAAAGGCCTTTTGGTACCACAAGACGGGTTTAAAAAATTCATACTTTTTAATAAAAAAAAAAAATTATTTAAATCTTTACGATGTTAAATTTCAATAATAAAAATTACACAAATTAATTTGAAATATAAGCATTAAATATTATCATATTAAATATTTATTGAAAAAATACATACCAGACCCATTAATCCTATCGCAATATTCATTACCCCAAGTATTCAATGTGCTGAAATAACAATAATTTCAAATTATTCATTGTTTCTTATCATCATAACGTATTAATTGTAAATGTTGTGATAAATCTATTATAAAGCGTGGTCCAAAAGTCAGTTAACTGATATATATTTTATTTTAAGTTAATTAAAACTTATTTATTTATTTGAAATAGCTACATGCTGTTACTTTCGAGCCACCATGTTACTTTCACCGATAAAAATTAAATGATAATTAAGGTTAGGACGTACAGGTACTAAAAATTATATAAAAGTTAAAAATTATAACATTTATATGGCATAATACAAAAATAAATGTCATCATAAAGCTCAAATAGTCTCAAATCGGATATCGTCAATGGTGGTTGTGAAAGGACAGATTGTAAAGACAAAAACAATTTTTTTGTATTCTTCAGTTGTTATGTAAATTACCGTCGGCCATTTTTTTATTTTAAAAATGTATATTTTAAAATATTTTAAAATTAAACAGAAGTTCGTTTATCCGGCAAGCAATAATCTCAGATGTTCGGTAATCCGGTACATTCAGGTAATTCGGTAAACTACATTTTATTATGCTGTACACTACATTGTATTATGCTAAACGCACAAAACTCATTGCAAAACAAAACGAGTTCATACTCGTTTTGTTTTGCAATGAGTTTTGTGCGCACATGTGTTTTGTTTTAGTAATGTGCATGACTGACGTATTTTCTTTTCGACAGGTAAGTGCGCACATAAAAACATTTCTTGTCCTTTATTTATTTTTTCCTTTTTTATATCCTGTGGGCACTAAAAGGGCTTTTTTCAGACTCAAAGTGAGTTCGGCTAGGCCATAAATGCTAAAATCATTAATGTACAATGATTTTAGCATTTCTATTCTTCCATCTTCACTCCTTTTCTTCTTAGGACAGAACATTAAGATAATTGATAACAATTTTGTGCGAAAACATTTGATATAAATAATGTAGTAATATCAAATTGAATTTCTCTACTAAAGAAACAAGATCTATTTTCTTTCCTGATGGCATCCGAACTCAATTAACCGTATGGGGACCATTGAAGTATTACGTCAGCAATCTATGGGGAAGGACCCCCATAAACTGCTGACGTAATACTTCAATGGTCTCCACGCGGATTCGTTATTATCTGACGAAAATCGTGTACCTTATTACGAAATCTTACAAGATTTGCATATTTTGTTTACAGTTACCTTATTTTTGCTTCAGTTTACAATAATGGATGATCTCAAAATAAAATAAAAAGTAGTGAAGTGGAAATTCTGGTTTTATTACTCTGTATCACATGTGTAACGTCTCATATTAATTACATAATTGTAATTAGTTAAATTATGAAAGTTCTTACGGTTTTCCTTTAAACTTGATTATCTCACCCATCGATCGATTTGTTTTGTGTCCTGTGGCAACAACATTCAATTCGGGTGAACTGTTGTTTAACTGAAAGGAAAATGATTCTGAGCTCAAAATATCAAATAGTTTATGAAGAATAATATAAAAAATAAAAACACCCACCATGTAAAATATATTTATAGCTCCATTTTTTAAAATATTTCCGAATAGGCCTTTAATAAATCCTAATATTCCCGATAAGGAGTTCAAAAATCTGACAGGGAGTCCATCTATCAAAAATTGTTTGGCTGTAGTTCTCAGTATCAAACGTTCTTGACTCATTAGCATATTATAAATGAAGGAGCCAATTAAAAGCAAATTTCTTTCTTTCATTATGGTTGCTACACCCTAATAAAATAATTCATAAGAATTATATGATGAGAATTCTTGAGTGAATTCAAAAATTTTCAAAATTGATTTTTCAGATATTTAATTATAAAATATTTTCTATTTTGCTTATTGAAACAATTTACAAATGAAGAGCTTATCAGGAATAGCATGCTCTTCGAAAATTCTCGAGGAATGGTAGGATTAAAGAGATAAGGTAATAGATAAGTCTAGTGTCATGTGCCTAGCACCTAAATAAGGAACAATTTCCTATAGAAAATTCTTTCTGGAAATATTTTCTTGGAAGATCGCCCGTGTGTTGCGTTTCCTTATTCCATCAATCCGATCCAATCCTAAAAACAAATAAAATTTCTAAAAGCTTAAGAAAGTATTTAGCATTTACTTACTAAAGCAGCAAGATTCAGAATAAAAATCTCCTGTTCTCCTGATTTATCAGACATTTCATCTTCTGTAAAAAACTTCATGCTTCCTTTGAATTCAACAGTTCCTTCGTCAATATTCCAACGAGTAATGTTTTTCGTCATCTCGGTCCTGAAATGAACATCAAAGACAGCAGAATACAAAAATTATGGAAAATGAATTAGGCCTAATTAATGAACATGTTTAAAATGGAAGAACGTTTTTAAAGTAATTCTGATTCTTAACTTAATTGTTGCATTAGATATTAAGCCTATTTGTTGCTAATATTCTTTTACATCAATAAATGGTGCATTTTACATACCATTTATTGGTTATATGCTTTATTAATTTCATTATGTTTCGATGAATGCCATTTTATGATTACATGCTTCATTTTTAAATGAATTTAGAAATACAGTACGGTCGCGCTAATCCTAAGTAAGTGAAACAAGTGGTAGTTTGGATTAACGGACTTATTCTTTGAGGCCATTTTTTACTGTTGTGAGATATTTTACAGAGCAAATAGAGGTTAGAATTGTTGCTGAGTCAAACAGATTTACGGAAAGAATGAGCAGCAATGCTCACAACACATGATTTATGTTTACTTTACACGTGAGCTGCAAGTCAGCAGTTGACAAGACCGTTATTTTAGTTAGGGGAACGGTAAAAGCTATTCGGATTACAAGGAGTTCGGATTAGCGCGACCGTACTGTACTTCTGGATAAACTTTCTCTCGATTTTATTATCTTTGTCCATTTGTTCATTTGTCCATAAAATATCTCGGAGACAAGTAATTAAAATTTTGAATTTATTTTGTCTGTCCAAACATTTCTAGAAAACAAAGAAAGGATTACAGGATAATCCACACCATTAAATTTCAATTGAACATCTAAATAAATTTTTAAATATTAATTTAATTACTGCAGAAAGCAATTGAAAAATTTCCATTTTTTAAAAAAAATATTTAACAATTTTAAACGGGAAAAAGAAATTTGAAAAATTGTTAACGTATTAAATCGAATAAATTCTCTCGTCAGTGAAGATTCTAAAGAAGTTATAAATACCGTAACATTCTTCACTATTATAATCAAATATTTACACTGAAACATTTTAAGAAAAAGTACAAATTTACCTCAAAATGAAAGGTCCTACTTCGCTGAGAACCGGAGGTTTTCCGTTTATAACGTCCCTTGGGTTAGTTACATTAAACACATAAATATAGGCGTAAGCTCCCGCTGGAGGCTTTGCCCAATAGTCTGCTATAAAGCTTCCTTCATTTAACCTCATGTTCTATAAATACAAATTTAAATATAACGTCGCAATTATAATTAATCGTTGATGTTTAAATTTTATTTATTAAATTATATTTATAAATTTTTCTCCTATTTTTTAAGAACGTAATTGATTTCAGTGAAAAAAATACCACGTTGGATTTTTCGCGTGGCATCGGCATATAAACTGTCTCAATTTTATCCGATTTGAATTGGATTGATCTCTATCAAACAAAGCTCCAACTATAATTATATACACTTCTGGCTTCTGTCTGCATCTATATTACTTGTCAAAGAAGACCTGGAAGCTATTTTTTGTAGTCTTTACGAACTCTGTGATTTCTATTTCCGTTGCTGAGTGGCGGCTCTTAGAGTCTAATATGTGAATGTTTCATATGTTTAGATCGGCTCTTTAATTTTAACTTAAAATTACTCAAAACCAAAGCCGATCAAAACATTACACAAAGTCTAAACGATTCATACTGAGCGCCCTCCTAAGACTTAACCCTCAAATTAAACCCCATGATTGTCATGTTTCAATTAGCCATTGCTGCTAATTGAAACATGACAATCCTTCCAGCTTTTCTTTAATTTTAGGGAATAGAAAAAAGTCTTAGGGACAATATCAAAGGATAAAGAGTATTATTATGCTCCTCTCATCAGATACTCAATAACCAGAAACGACAGATGAAAGAGAATTTGGAAGCTTCAGCAACGAAAATCATTAAAGACAACAAAAAAATGGCTTCCATTATTGCTTTGACAAATGGTATGGTCTCTAGCAGAAATGTGTTGCTCCAGAAAATGCTTAAACCGAACTTGGTCTTCAGTAAATACGTACTTTACAAGTAACATAATAAAAGTTACATATAAAATTCGCTTTGTTTTTCACTCTACCAGTTATAAATAGTGCTAATGAAACATGAAGTTTCCATACTTTAAAATTATCATATCAGTCTTCATATGCATTAATTTATGGTAACCATTTAATTGCTCAATCAATCAAATAATCAATTAATTAAACAGTCATATGTTTATATTAATTAAATTATCCACAACCGTGAGGCAGAAATAGTGAGGGCTTATCAGACCAATGATGGGCATAAACGCTCAGGGATCAAAGTGAAAACAATTTAATAAACTCAAAAAATTACTACATAAGTGTGAAAACGAAAACCCAAAATGCATTTCGGACTATTTTCCCATTAGAAAATAGTCTGTCATCAGTTGGTATTAGTTAAAGGTAAATGCTATAATAGAATTATACAAGGTAACGGTCAACTTAAAAACTAAGCCTAAAGTTATACACTATAAAAATTGAAGACACCACTGTAACGGTATGAGTAGTAAGCATCATCAGTAGGTATTATCTAAAGTAGATGGTATATTAAAAATTATACAAAGTATAGGTAAACTTAAAACTATGTCTAAAACTATACAATATAAAGGTGAAGACGCCATTATAACAGTATGAGCAGTAGGCAATATCAGTGTAGACAGGTGTAATAAATCTTCATGACTTTGCATGGTGGAGTGACATACAGGGTGCTGATACAAAACGGTTATAAGTTAGAAAATTATTAGTTAACACTAATTTTACTAAAGTTATACAGACAGGTAATGTACATACCAAAAACACTAAGACGACAGAGTAGCAGGTGCCAGCTTACAACAAGGTGCTGGGAGTGGTAGTGAGGGAAGTGTGTATCAGTCCACATCTGGTGTACAAGTGGTGACAACATATGATACAATCCTGGAATAACCATATTCATTATATTACGAAACACACAGGGCATATTATGCACGCTTTTGCCAAGGTTGCCAGGTCATCTTGGGGCCTTAGTGGTCTGGCTATGGGAATGATATATGATAGCATTTTTCTACCCGTTCTCACTTATGGCTGTGNGGGTTATTACAGCTACAGTTAAACCTGTATATCACATTGCTTTTTTTAAGGATATTAACCATATTGTTTGGGTGGTTTGGTTGGATGTATTTTTGGGTTTTATTACAAAGGTCAGGGACTAAATTGATGTTGGTACTGTTTAAGACCATTTTAATTTTTTCAAACATATTTTTGACATATGTATGTTTGTTATGTAATAAGAATTTACATATGAGATAAGAAAAGTAGTAAATTCAAACAATTTAGATACCGGTATTTCACAAAATACAGTAGATTAAAATAGTAATAGGGCCTGTCAGGAGTCAAGAAAGGCCTAGAACATCTGTTTGAGGTTTTCAATAAATTTTAAAAAGCGTCAAAATATATTAATTTACATTCTTAATAAATAGATTGTTTCTTAATTAATAATTTAACTTATTTTTAAAAAATGTTTTTGAGGTCCTATAAATACATAGTTCGATCAAATGTTCCTGCTAGTTTTCCTATGATGGAACCTGGAGAGTAATAATCTTGTTACTTTGGATTTGGTTACGATAACACGACTCGTGGGCGATCTGCCAATGGGATGCCTCCCTGGAGGACTTCATGGGAAATTGGCCTCTATTTAGATATTACAAATGTGAAGAAACCCGGAGATTTTCGGGTCTTCTTCACGTTAAGGCGCGAACCCAAAACCACTGTGTTCAGTGGTTTTAAAATAAGATATGTATATATTATATATTGCGTTCAAAATGAATTTTGTCTTTGTCTTTCCTGTCTTATATTTTTTGTCCTGTTTTATATAATTAGTATACCTACATTAATATCCATATAATATGAGCATGTTCTTAAAATACTTTGAAATAATTCACAAAAGTAAATAATTCTTAATGAAAAAGTGGAAATTTTTTCAAATCAAATTGCCCAAGGTATAGACGTTTGTGAAAATTTTCCAGGGGGCAAAGCTTGGAGATAAATAATTACATCAATAAATTTTTATTTACTTATTTAATTTTTGGTTTTTGCCTTACAAGTAGATTATAGAATACAATATTGTATCAAAGCGTCCCAATGTCGAGAGGGTGAGGTTACAACTTTTACCATTATAATTTATGGAATGTTTTAATTGGTTCCAAGGGAGGGCAATGGCTCCGTTTTCCCCTCTCTGCGGACGCCCCTAGCCCAAAGGAATATAGTTTTATTCATAATTATCTATGTTCAATTTAATCAATTAATAAATATTTATCAGACTACACGGCCGGTTTAGTTATCTATATATGTAAATGAGGATGTTTGTTCGCTTTACACATCTACCAATGGCTACCAAACTCGGTAGCTACGTTCACTTCTATAATTTCGTAATCCCATACCAAAATATCTATTGGATACCTGTATATCAATTCATTTCTATTTATTTTCTGGTTTACGCATATCGCCATCTATTGCAAGAAATTTATCAAAATAATAAACTAAATAGAATTCTACGAAAAAGGATATAATTTTAAAAATATATATATACCAGGGTGTATATATATATATATATTATATTCACTTAATGTCTCAGTAATGATATAGCGTGAAATAGACGTGCTATATCATTACTGAGACATGTAGCACATAGCATTTGCCTGCGCGGAATCGAAAGTGTTATCGTGTGAAAAGTCTATAAGTATTAAATATTCTTCATCTAAAGACGAGAGTTTTTTTCATTTCTGAACGGCATGGGCGTAGCCAGGAAGGGGCATGGGTGGACACGGCCCCCCAGTTAACCTGGTGCTCTCCCCAGAAAATTACAGCCGAAATAGTGTTGAGGCGATTTGCAAAAAATAAAAAATAAAAATTTGAAGCTAATTTAACTGGGTGTAGTATACCGAGGCCTGCAATCAATCTCTGAATATTGGACTGAACTTCAAATAATTGCTTGAATGGATCCGTGATAATTCTCCACAAACTGACAATGTGATGTTATAGGAAAGTTGAGAAATTCTGAACCTAAAAAAAAGGTCAACGGCTTTCTGTGCCCAATGTGAAAGGTGTACCTGTAATCTCTGTGTACAGTTTAGTCTCTACGGGGTGACACCACAATAAGATCTCGCATCACCTGAAAATCTTGCTAGGGCTTCCTCTAGTTCGGGCAGTGAAAAAGTTTTCTTTCCAATTCGGCCCGGAGAAAAAAAACTGTTGGCCACCCCTCGTCTATATCTAGATTAAAGACGGTGAACTATATTAAAGAATGGTAAAAAAAATAATTGATTGGTTAATTTTTGTTTAAGGCATTGCTAGAGTTTGATATTAATGTTACGAGAACGTATGATTAAAGAAAGTTTCATATTTTATGTGTTAAGTTATTGTCGATTCTTATGGAAATTTCATTTTAATGAACAGTAATTTGAAATAATTCAATTTTGTGTCAGGTTGGCCTCTATTAGGCCCTCATAACAAAACTCTGGCTATGCCCATGCTGAACGGTACTTTCTAAATTACAGTATAAGTGCCCTCCAGTAACTCCACTCGGCTACTGGAAGGCACTGGATAAAACTACCGAACACTGGTAATTGGTTGCGGGTTCGGGCATGACCAACGGTCAGGCCACGTGGAGTTTTCCGGGTTTTCTTCACGTTAGTAACATGTGGTGATTTCTAGTAACCGTGAACGAATCAAAAGTCGAGATAAGATTAACGAGAACATTTATTAAGTTACATACTGTACTGTACATCCAATTTGGATCTTACACAAAAGACATCTGCTATCGTGAACAATTGACGAAATAAAATATACATTTATCAGATAATAAATAAAGACTCATTTGTAAACAATTTACCTTTTATATATATAACTGACAAGGTTATCTTTCAAATTATAGACAGGCTCGATCCCGAGCGGTCTTTTGATGGTCGGACATACAAAAAATGAACAGATAGCGCCTAACTCAAGCGCGGTTTACAATAACGAATATGATTAATCTTAACATAACACCTAAATAGGGTCCAGCTTCTCATAAAAGTCTTCCTGAGATGCATTCCCTTCGCAGATCGCTCACATGACGCGTTGCCTAACCAAATAAACCAAACTAATTCTAACGAACGATTATTTACAATGCCGGTCTACAACTTTTTGTCAAAATGTTCTCAATT